ATTCCTGTTAAAGGCTCTAAGACTTTACTGTTCATTTCCCAGTGATAAGATCCTGACAGCCTTTCCACACTGTACTCCTAATTTCTGCATCTAACAAGGAAATCCAATGATGATAATTGTTTGTGTTTGAAACTCCGCAGGCATGCCAGTCCTTTGATTTTTTTTTTGTCATTTGTCTCTTTTAAATATAATTATAAAAGCAGCTTTGTGTTTGCACCTATTTAAAGTGGATACACTTTTAATGAAACAAGCTGTCATTGAAGGATAAGGTGCGCACTACTTTCTTAAAGATCTGTATAAACTAGTTTTGAACCTTAAGTTTTCAGACTTTTACACATTTTCTAGTAAAGACATAGCTTGCGATGTAGTGGTGGTTTTGCTTTTCTAGTCGCTTTCTGTAGTGTGCTTAGCCTCAGGTTAAAATCCACTATTCTAATGGATGTGTACTGAAAGCTGGGTGAGAAGAGAAGTTATGATCAGACTTACAAAGAGAAACACTCATCCCCATGGAGTTTAACAGCTAGACAGTGAGACATCCTGTTATAAGTCCTTGCTAATGTTTACTTTGCTCAGAGCAGGAACTTGAAACTGCTTTTTCCATACTAAGGCTAAGGCCAGAGCTGACAGGGTGCAGAAAGCACAGTGGTATAGTACCAAAAATGGAGAGGAGAAGACATTAAGAACTTGAAAACTTTTCACAGAACTTAAATATCATCCTGAACTGACGTAAAAATAAGACAAGACTGCACAGAGCAATGACTTTTTTTGGATTTAAATATGAACACAGAGTTCCTACAGAGATCACACAGTCACTTTCTGGAGATGCTCCACCTTTCCTAAGAAGTTAAACGTTGCTGGGAACAGGGCTTTGAACTGTGCCCAGCCCAAGGGAAGGTGCTGACCAGTAGCTCTTAAGGACTTTTGAAATCCTTTAAAGGTATTAAATGCTCACAGGCTTCTAAAGACATTTCATTTTGTATAAATAATTAAACAGTCACCAAGACAAATAAAGCAAGGGAGACTGATTCTATAGCCATGTAGTCGGGGCGTTCATCTAGAAGGTAGGGAACTATACATCAGTCACTGCAGCAGCGTATATTTAATTATTGATATAGAGTTGGCCACGTGTGACATGGAGGCATTTGCAAAAACACAGTTAAAGAAGCTTGTGCTCAGGGAGGTCATCTTGGATACAAAAAGCTGCAGTTCAGTGCCCCAGACTCAATCATGTAATTTGTTCTAAGCCATGTGCATGCTCACCCTGGATGTTATAAGTGCATGGAGTTTCTCTGCTCAAAAAGCTTTGACAATCTTAGTTGGTCCCAGTGAGGGTCAAGCATAGTTTTGAACTGTCAGAAAAAAAAATCTTGAAACTGAAAAACATCTCCTATCCAGCATTACTATAAGGAACAATGTCTTTGATGTTACACATACGTCTTACAGAGTCTTGCCTATAGGCAAAAACCATGTTTTCCTTTAAATGCACCATTGCTTCTTATAGTTCAGAGCCATCAGAAGCTAGTGTTATTTCAAGAAAGCGTAGATTAGGTCCTGCTTTTATGAACTGCTTCAGCAGTAAAAAAAGATGAGTGGGAGGCCCGAGCAGGTCGGAGCAGCTTCCCCTGGTACCAGGGAGCTCCCTGGTGAGCTACACTCAGCTTTGCTGTACACGCGGCAGCGTCCATACAGGGCTGAGAGCATGACTGGAAGCAAGAAGGCAGAAATGGCAGTGCAGCGTACCAAAGCAAATGCTAAGCAACACAAAAGCAATGTACTGAAGGCAAGTTTTCAAGCTGAAGATCAGGGAAGTGGAAGGAAAGCTTGAAGCCTCTCTCATCTTCCCTGACTTGAGTACAGGGGATTTGGCCTTAAATTGTTAACATTTTGTGAAATAAATAACCATAAACATTTGTTTTAGAAGCGAAACAGAGTTGGGCTGCAGAAGATTTGAAAGGAAATGAAATCGCAAAAGCTGCATTAACGTAGTATTAGGAATCTGGTTTGCACCCCAGAAAAGTGAAGGAATACTAGCTTTGCTCACCCTCTCTACTAGACCCGGGGTTAAGAGACATTGTCAGTCTGGATTTCCAGCCTTGGCTTGGAATTTCCTTGTTTTTTATGGGTATGAATCAGCTCTATGATATTATTTTAGCATGCTTTCTACAACTTAATTTTTAAAGTGGGGTAGTAGCCGTTCTTGGTCCCCTGGGGTTATTGTCCTTGGTAATCTTTACTTTACGGTTACATAAACAGCTGAGAATTATAGAAGCTGAGCGACTGTTCAATAAAAAAGAAAATGCCCTTTTAAATTTCACAGGCTCCAAGGCAGGAAACATGGACATGATATTCTCCTGGCATTCGTACAGAACTTTAGCCGTGACTTTATGTTGTTTCCGCTTATGGCAGTCTGTAGGATGTCCCTGCACTAGCAACATACACACATAATTTTGAATATGTACGTATTGCACGGTAGAGGAATGTATGGCAAGAGAAGGACAAGATTGCAGTTAGTTTATAGGGTTTTTAGCTCTCTAATAAAAACATATTACATGTGTCAAGAAGTTTAGAAATGAACATTTGTTCTCTTCAACTACTCTTGCTGAAACTTGGATGTGTTAATTTGCTGCATCCTTGAATCTGTAATTTGTCTTTAGTTACCCACACTAAACCGTTTTCCCACCTATACATACCCACTGACGTTCCCCTCCTCTATGTCACTCCTTTGTCCCTAAATACCTTCCCGGTTTCCCACTTCCTAGCTCAC